CTTTAAAACAATAAAACGCCCACCCAAAAGTAAAATGATTTTTTTTTCAAAAATTTCTGACTACTTTAAAAATTCTAATTCTAATTCTTTCTATCTTAATGCAGTGACTGAAAATGAAGTGTCTGATTTAATAAAGAATCACTTTACAATTGTAAAAGTTTAGGTCTAAATTGTATTTTAAACACCTTCTTAAACCTACTTCAAGTTATTTGCTGGCCTGTCTGTAGCATATTGAACAATTTTTTTAATAAAACTATTTTTACAGATATTTTTAAGATAACCATAGTCATTCATATGTATAATAATTCTCTGGATCACACAAATTATCGACTGATTTCTCTTCTATTTCACATTAGCAAAGTATTTTAAAAAGTCATGTACAACAGACTTTCTTGAAAAAAATAATGTCTACAAACATCAGTATAGATTTTGTAACAAACACTCCACAACTCTAGCACATATTAAAATAACTGAAAATATATAAAAGGCTATTGATAAAACACATTTTGCGTGGGGATTTTTTCATGAATTAGAGAAAGCCTTTGATTCTGTTTATTATTCCATCCTCCTAAGTATATGGGAACACTACGGTGTTTAAAGCGCTTTTTAACGGTTTTCATCAAATCTTCTTGAAAGATCGCTATTTGTCCCCATTAATGATGCAAAATCTTGACAAATAATATACAGATGTATCCAAAGGTTCTGTTTAAGAACTATTTTATGAGCGTTTCCTAATTTTATGAGCGTTTCCTAATTTTATGAGCGATCTAAATATATCTCTAAAATTTACAACAGCTTAACATTTTGCTGACGACACGAATTTATTAATAACAAATAAAAAAAATAAATTAACTAACATATAAATTATGACTTATCGACTCTATTTTAATGGCTGCGCTCTAACAAACTTATTCTTTATACCAACAATAAAAAACTCGTTATTTTAAATCAAGTTCATCTAGAATGTATAAAAACCAAAACTTTAGACTAAGAGGACATAAAATCATTGTTTTCGTAATTTTTTTTTCGTGACGGTCTTTGGGCTAATGTCTTTTCTCCCTCAGCTAAGAAATGAACTTTCAACGTAACTTCTTGCATTTAGACAGGAATGGAAGCTTTTATTCCATCTCACTGATTCTAAATTAAGCTTTATTCTACTCCATTGTTTTCACCCTCTATTCGTCCCTGTTAATATTGTCCTTCTAATGATGCACTTTCTCTTCTAGTCAACGTCCAAAAAGGCATTTTAAACCTAGTTAAACACGCTCTATCTGCTAAGCTTGAGCCTCTTTTCCATTATCATTAAGTTGCACCTCTTTTTCTTTTCTACAATTACTATCATGATCGCCGCTCAAAGGAGCTATCATCTCGAGTTCTATCAACTATAACTCTTTCTCACTTGACTCGTCATTCATGCTTATAAAAATTTTGTTTGTTTACTTCTTTCTGCGCACGTCTAACCTTTGCAACTCCTATCTTCATATTTTACTGACTCGTACTACCTTTAACTTATGTAGTCTTATGTCAACCGTTTTACATTTGTCAACCGTACTACCTTTACGTACTTACCTCATGTCAACCGTAATACCTTTAAATTATGTAGTCTTATGTCAACCGTTTTCTTGCTCTATTCATTTTTTCTAGATAATACTAACTCTACTCATTTTTTTCTAGTAAATACCAAATCAATAGTGGTTGATTGGAGTCTTGTCGGGATGGATTAAAAAAAAAGGTAGAAACTAACATCTATTTCTATTGATTAAAATTTTTAATCATTCTATTGATTAACATCTATTTCTATTGATTAAATATTTATATTGATTAATAGTGTTTTTTTTTTGCAATATTTTTTAAATATTTCTACTTGCAATAAAACTTAAATTATTAGCACCAAACCCGACTTTATTTTCCTATTTAAACAGTTTTTTTTTTCATGTAGGTCACCTAAATGACAAATTAGGGTTGTTAACAGGAGGATTCCGTGCAATTCCGGAAAAACAACATTCTTTCGTAAGGAGATTGAGATCGAGGAATTACATTTTTTCGTACCGAATGTTACAAAACATTTAAAATCGCCGATGTTCATTTCGCAAAAGCCACTTCGGAAATTTAGCATTTCGCAAGTTGACATACGAAACAAAACTATTTTGCAACATACGAAAGTAGTGGTCTCGGAAGTCGCACTTGCGAAACAAATATTTTCGCCAAACGACGTTTTGAAGTCTATAAAAAAAATTTGTTTGCCAGACTGATTTTGATTGTAAAAATTAACATCTTTAAATCCCAAAATGTTTATAATGAATTTTTATTTTCAGTATAATAACATATTAAATTTTTATGGTTTTATTTTTAGAAATATTGATAAAAAATAAAATTTCTTTCGGAACGAAAGTATTTCGGATCACAACATACGAAAGAATTCTTAACGGAAATAAACTTACGAAACGTGCAATTATAAATATATATAACGATGTTTTTTGAATTCATTACGTATATTAAAAATAAGAATGATGGGTAGGAATATACATGTTTTTTTTTTTCAAAGCATATGAAATTTTTGAAACAGGTTCGAATATGCTAAAGCAAATAGTAAAAAGAGGCTCAAAAATATGCTTTAGCTCAACATATTTCTGATAAAATATACCTATTTCAATAATTTCTAAAAGTGTGCACGTTACTAAAGTTCTTGCAGATTTTAAAGGTATGTAGAGTCCTGTTTGAATACAATTTTTGAAGTATAGATCTTAGAAAATATTGTTTTTTAATTTTAATAAGATATAAATTTAAGTATAAGATCGTATAGTTCAATCAATCAGATACGTGATAATTTGCCGCAGAGATCCGGGTTCGCTATCCCGCAGCCATTGTAACTTTTGTTCATCAAACTCTTTTTACTTAAGATAGTATTTTTTGAACTCCATGTTCTATATTACAGATCTTTCGTCACCTTCATAATAGTGACAACCTCTCTTCTGTTAGTTATTTTTTTTAAGATTGAGTTCATTGTGCCTAATTCTACACATTTTACTTGCTTTACTAAGTTTTACTTAAATAATGATGAAATGTACGTAAAACAACTTTTTCAAATAATATAAGTTAATTTGCTTTAAATCTTGTGCTTTTTGTACTAGACATCTGCCCTAAACACTTTGTAATAATTTCTAGCTAACTCTGAGTCTAATATAATCATTTCTGAATATAATTTCCCTGAGGCTCCAACAGTCTATTGTGTTCCATTAAAAGTAACTAGTTTTCGAGTCCAGATATTAATTATAAGCAACTAAAGGTTCACATTACTATTCATTTTCCTGATATATAGAATCCTATTTGCATACGTATCTCTTTCTGTAAAATCTGTTTTATATAGTTTCTTTATTATATAATAAATAGATATTACTATTCACTTAGTTGAATGAGCGTATAGCTCATTAAGTTAAGACATTTGGCCGCGGAGACCCAGGTTCACATCCCGCTGTTTCACATATATTTCTTCTCTTTTTACTCTTTCTGATATCATTTACCTTTAGAGAGATCTCTCGTTCTTTATAATAAAGTAATTGTTTATCACACATCCTCTTTATACTTTTTAAAAAGAAAGGCATACTGTTTATCTGTTCATTGAGAGTCCAACTTAACGGGATTTTACTGTATATATATGTATATATATATATATATATATATATATATATATATATATATATATATATATATATATATATATATATATATATATATATATATATATATATATATATATATATATATATATATATATATATATATATACATATATGTATGTATATATATATATATATATATATATATATATATATATATATATGTATATAAATATATATATATAAAATATATATAAATATTTTTTTTTTGTATGCATTTAGGTGCTCCCAGAAGTCCTTACGGTCTTATCATAGAGCGCCGCGGGAGAGCATTAAACGGGAAGTTCACGCCTCCTTCCGTACCAATGTCACTTGTTAGGCAAGAGCTGGCGTCGAACCTCGGACCTCTGGATTCTGAGCCAGAACTCTAACCACTGCGCCACGGCTGCTCATATATATATATATATATATATATATATATATATATATATATATATATATATATATATATATATATATATATATATATATTAGGTATATTTGTATAAACATTTGAAGAATCATTTGACAACATTTTTTTATAATTTTATTATTTATTATTTAAACTGTTAACAGTTAATATCTTAAATATATCGTAACATAAAATCTTTTGCGGCTTTTTCGTAACTGCACATTCCGGAATGCTTTTTCCGTAAGGAACTATTTCGTAAGTATTCTTACGAAATGGTTTGTTTCGCAAGTTTTCTTTCGCAATGCTTTATTACGGAATTTTATTTATTTATACTTTCGTATAGCGCGTTACGGAATGTGCATTTTTGCATGTGCAACTTCAGCTATAACAATTCTATTACGGTAGATAAAAATGCGAAATTTTCGCAAGTTTTGTTTTTCGGCGAACAACCCAATTACAAATAGAATAGTTAATGCCAACTCTTCATATGACGATACAATACAATATCTTCGTCAATACAATCGACCTACGGAGAATTTTGTTTATTATTTCTATTTAATGAAAATAATGGAAAAATAAAGAAGGTTAAATTTTATCATTACAATAATAGTTCTAACATTATCAAACTTTAGGAACCTTGTTGCTTTTAGTTAAAAATGAAAATAAGATTTGATATAAATCTAATCTTATTTCCGTGATTTTAGGTACGTGGACTGATTTTTTTTAATTGAACATAAACTAGGATGTTATATATCATTAGAAAGCCCTTCAAAAAAGCATTTTAATGGTGAAAAAATTATTAAAAACGAACAATTTAAAAAAAAGTGATGACGTTTTTAGTAGCAAATTTTCGATATATGGATTTCTTGAAGAAACTGGTTCCAAAATTAATTTTTTTTTTCACTGAAATTGTTATAACTTTGTCAAATCTTATCCAAATGCCTAAACCTTGGAATCAAAAGATAGATGTAATCCCAGCAAACATGCTTTCAGCGGACCGTGATGCGCAAAGCCGCCGCCGGTAAGCCAGTGCTGACCCTTTGTTATGCCTAATGCGGGTGCCGCTGCCGGGTAGCTGATGCAGGACCAGCATCCTATTTTATGTTGGCTTTCCGTCATCGCGGAAGAGCGATAAAACACTTCGTCGCCAATGCAATTTTAAATGGGCATGCCAGCTTCGGTAAGTTCATCAGGATACGCTGTAGCTTTGCCCACACAATGCCAAAGTGGGCTTTTGGATGGCGGTAAGCTGTCGTAAAATACATCAAAAGCAAGCGTTTCAAGCGCCATGAGACTTTGATTGGTCGATATCGATATATGGTTTTATTTTATTAGTGTTTATTAAATACTAAGAGGTAACTCTAAAATTAAGAGAGTAACATTATTAAAAAATAATATTAGCCAAAAATTATTTTTTAATAATGTTACTTTATTAAATAACTTTAAAAATGTTACTTTGTTAAATTAAATGTTACTTTATTAAATAACTTTAAAATGAAGAGAAACTTTATTAAATAATAATTTTAGGCAAGTAAATAAAGTTTATTTACATGCCCAAAATTTAGGCATGTAAATAAACTTTACTTACTTCCCTAAATTTTTATTTAATAAAGTTTCTCTTCATTTTCAAGTTAACTCTTACTAAGCTTAGTAAGAGATAACTCTTCATTTTAGAGTTAACTCTTACTAAGCTTAGTAAGAGTTAACTCTAAAATGAAAAGAAACTTTATTAAATAATAATTTTAGGCATGTAAATAAAGTTTATTTGGCAAATAATTTACATGCCTAAAATTATAACATGAGCTTTACTGTTTAAGTTTACCTAACTGTTTACTTATAAACTTATAGCTTTACTGTATATTCCAAGACTAAGAGTCTTAGTCTTGGAATATACAGTAAAGCTATAACTTTCATATCTATTTGAAATGAAATACAAAAAGTATATATATTTTTTACTTAAGTTTATTAAATATATATAGACTCGAGTAAAAACATATATACTTTGTATATTTCATATCAAATAGATAGTGAAAGTTACAAAATAATATAAAGTTATAGAATAACATTAAATGGAAAGTTATTAAACATTAAATGAAAAGTTATGGAATATATATACTCATATAGTTTATACATCTTTATATAATATAAAGATATCTTTATTATGTTATGTTACATATTATGAGTCTTCGTAATATATTATATTATAAATACTCGTATATCTAAATATACGAGTATTTATAATATAATATATTATGAAGACTCATAATAAGAGTATATGAGTCATATAAAACTCTCTATGTTATTTTATATTCAATTTCATGTATAACTTGAAATTAAATGTGAACTATAGACTTTATATAGATTATATACTATATAAAGTCTATAATTCACATTTTATTTTAAATATATATTTCAAGTTATATACGAAATTAATTACTATATGTAATTTTTAAGTTATATATGAAATTAGGTACCATATTATAGGCTATGTATGAATGGTATCATATGTTATATATGAATTTACGTATCAAATAAAGTTGTTTTATATTATTATTATACAACAACTTGTAAACGATACATAAATTCATATATAACATCATGTCATATGATATATCATATGACGTACGATATGTTGTATATGAATTTACGTATTATATATAATATTATATTATATAATAACTTGATATATTGAGTTATATATTGACTTATATATATTATATACTTAATATTATATAATATATGATACGTAAATTCATATACAAATATTGATATGTTGTAATATTAATACAACTTGAAATACATATATTTGATTTAAAAAATAAATTATAGACTTTATATAGATGTATATTGACTTATATAGATGATTATATACTTTCATATGTTATGATGAGTTATGAAAGTATATATATATATATATATATATATATATATATATATATATATATATATATATATATATATATATATATATATATATATATATTTATATATATATATATATATATATTTATATATATATATATATATATATATATATATATATATATATGTATATATATGTATACGTATATATATATATATATATATATATATATATATATATATATATATATATATATATATATATATATATATATATATATATATATATATATGTATGTATATATATGTATACGTATATATATATATATATATATATATATATATATATATATATATATATATATATATATATATATATATATATATATATATATATATTTGTATTTATATATATATATATGTATATATATATATATATATATATATATATATATATATATATATATATATATATATATATATATATATATATATATATATATATATATATATATATATTGGGAAATATCTGTATCTACTACGTATCATTATTATTAATTATTGCGCTTTACATTATATAATATATATTATACAATGTTGAGCGCATATTATATAAGGTAGGGTTAAATAATAATAATTAATGAAAATCTGTTTTAGTGAAAAGAATTAGCAAAATTAAGCTTTAAGGTTGCTTGTTTTAATTTTTATTTAATTTAATTTTTTTAATTTTTAAGACTTTTTTTTAAGATTGTCTTGAAAATTATTTTGACTTAATGTCACACTTTGATTTACTGATTTACTAATATTTATTTGCAGGTTTAGTTGCTTTTGTCTCCATGTTGTCCAAGGGTTATGTCGGCCATGATCCTAATATTATCATGGGTTTAGCAGAGTTGTTTAACTTGCAAACTGGATTAAAGATTTTGAATAAATTTTTGTGTTCTTAATATGGTCACAAGTTTGTACTTGTTTAAAACCCTCAATCATTTGAAAATTATGGCGCCGGTATGGTAGTTATTCTAATTTTATAGCTTTCATTTTTCTCAAGTTATTTTCATAGTTTTTTATATTGAGCTACACTTTTGTTTGTACAGTGAAAACTATGTTCAATAATAAAACTATATTTTTATTTAGACATGGTAGATGTCCTAGAAAAAACTGGTAGTAACTCAATTTAGATACACATAGTCGATGGAGTTACTTGCTAATAACTGGCAATGAGACATATTTGCTTCAAATGATGCCTTTAAAGTTTGAAAAGGTTAGTTTATTATGCTCGTCTTAAATGGATAGTTTTTATATTTTAATTATAAATCAGTGTCTGCTTTAATATAATTATCATAAAAACTAGGCATCTGAAAACATTCCTGCAATTTAATATCATGATAGTGACTTACTCTTGTCATTTTCATATTTAGATTTTTTCTAATTCAAATGTCGACTTTTTGTTACATGAAAAAAGATACTTATTTCAACCCCTCGACCATATTGGTAAGTAGAGCATTAGTCAGAAGTTGTATTTAAGCTTACTGTTTATTAAGTTTTACTTTTTTCAAGAAAAGCACATAATATGACTTTATTTTTATATAGCTTTTTAAAAGTAGTTACATAACTTTTCAAATTAAACAATGTTTTTGCTGTTTTTATCTGTTAAATTATGTTTTAATATTAAAATGAATTTTACATTTATTCAATGCAGATACACTTAGCATGTGGAGTTACTTGTCAATAGCTGGCGATGAAACTTTTAAACGCCTTTAAGGGCTGAGAAGGTTAGTTTGTTTCGTTATAATAGCTCTAAACTGAAATGTTTCGATATTTTGATTGGATATTGTTGTCTGCTTTTAGGTAAAAATTAGAAGTCTGCAGACTGCAACGTAAATCGATTTCAACACGTTATGGCTTCTCGAATATATTTAGTTTCCGATTGAAATGAGAATAAACTGAACTTATATATAAAGTGTTTACAATTAACTTTTTAAACTAGAAATACTCCAAAGGAGGTTCTCCAAACGCAAGTTAAGCAAAGTCGATAAATGTTAATATCTTTTATATTATGTTTTAGATATAAAAAAAAATTTATGTGACTTTAATATTTATGTTATAATTGTAAATTGCAATCTTAAAAGGATTTTATTATTACTTCAGATTGTTCTTTTTGTTCATATATTTGTTCACCGAGCTTAAGCGTTGCAACGATAATATAAAGGTAAATGATTTACAGTTATGGTAGTGTTTCTTTATGTTATGAGTAATATTTACTAAATTTGTGTTGATTTATTAAGTATTTAATGGCTATATACCTAAGCACAAAGTTAAAAGGTATTTGATGTGCTTTCCAGGCTTAAGCAGGGTTTGCCATTCTTTTTAGCGTAAAAATTGAGCTAAAATTATTTAAAAATTTCCTTTAAGTGCGTTTTGTTCAAATAAAAAAAAATAATGATATGCATATTAATGCATTCCAATCTTGATCAAAACATATAAAAGGTCCTATGTTATTCCGCTATCGTTTTCTCATCGGTTTGCCGCTGACGGACCGTTGTTAAAAAGTTTGCGATTTGCCGCCATCGGACCGCTATCGAGCCGCATGCAGATTGCTGCTAACGGACCGATGTAAATACGATGTGCAAGCCTACGCGGCAACGCAGCGGGCGGCCGACGTCGGCACGGCATAAGTGCTGACAGCGGTCCGTTGTCGGTCCGACTGCTCAATGTTTGCTGGGATAGTAGGCCACAAATTCATATAGCTCTATAGATAAAGGGGTGTCTAGAGGGCCAGAGGGGGTAACGTAACACCATCGAAACCTTAAAAAAATACAAGTTTTCACACGAAAGAGTATTTTGCTGATAAAATTTGTTATCTTTATTTAAATTTGCTTCCATTACTTTTCCAAATATTATTGGTCTATTTTAGATTAAAGGGTGGATGTATATGTTACGTTTTAACATCCTCGTAGTGAAATGTTACCATCTTATAAATATTTGAGCCTAAAAAACACTGATTATATTTTGTGTTAAAGACTATAAATTATATTTTTTACTTAACAGAATATACAAGTGGTGCATAAATTGACATTAGAGGCGGGACGATGCCACGCCTAACGCCCCTCCCCCTTCCTCTCAGTCTTCTCCAACCTAAAAAAACGTTTTAAAAGATATTTAAAAAATGGTTTTAAACTCAGTTTATTTAAAAAGAGAAATTAGTATTCAAGATTATTTTACCATGTTAGTGAGGGGAGGGGTGTGTGCCACGCCCAACGCCCCCCCACCTCTTCTTATTTAATCTTTAAAAAAATGTCAATAAAAATTTCAAAAATGTCTTTAAATTGTGTAAAAAGCGAGACATAACTTTAATAATTTTACCACATTATAAGATGCAGGTTGGAGTATCCACACTAAAAATTAACCACAGTTTTAAAACTTATATTTTAAAAAGTTATAAAATACAAAATATATATTTTATGTCTTGGCTTGTAGTAAATGATATTATGTAAAATTCCAATAATGAAACTAAATAAATCATTTTTAACAATAGACACCACGAGAAGGTAAGCCAGAGCCGTCTATCAAAATTTTTTTGCAAGCTACACAACTTGCTGTACCATATTTGCAAGCTACTCAACTTGCGGTACTTCTTTTGCAAGCTACACAACTTGCGGTACTCCTTTTGCAAGCTACACAACTTGCTGTACTATATTTGCAAGCTACTCAACTTGGGGTACTCCTTTTGCAAGCTACACAACTTGCTGTACCATATTTGCAAGCTACACAACTTGCAGTACTCCTTTTACAAGCTACACAACTTGCTGTACCATATTTGCTAGCTACTCAACTTGCAGTACTCCTTTTGCAAGCTACACAACTTGCTGTACCATATTTGCAAGCTACACAACTTGCGGTACTCCTTTGTTAATTTCTAATTATACAAATATAATTATATATAATTTAAATTATTTTCATATTTAAATTAATAAAATATTAATTCTCCTGTTATAACATCAGCTGCAAGCTGTATTTTTTTCATCTTATATTCAACAGCTTCAAGATCAGTTTCATCTTTTTTCCAGTAAGAAATAGTGTAAATTTTGTCTTGTTGGCTCTTGTTTACCTTTTCAACTCAACTATTATAAATGACAGATTTTGAACAGTCAGCATCATACCACTCATGACCAAGTTTTCTGTCTTTCTGACATAACATCTAAATCTTCTAGTTGCTTCGCAGACAAGTGTTTATATTTATGCATCATTTCACTGGGAGTTAATAAACACTGCTCACGCTCTAACTTTCTTTTTTGTTTTTCGTATATTTTTTGGCGCTTGAACGCCTGTCTACTAGTAATCTCTGCTCGAATTTCATTATGTAGTAGTCGATTTTTGATTCTTTTTTTACGTGCCATGTAAATAGACCATTTAATCACCTTTTCCCAAGAAAACTCCTCAAGATTCTCAAGATAATCTATAGTCCTATTCTTTTTGGATCATAATTTGCTAGGTATATAACAAATTGTTGCATTAGGGCAACGTCTTCTGACATATTAACATTTGGAATTTTTCCCTCTTCTATTTGTAACATGTCATTTTCTAATTGACCAATGAAAACTTTATTTATATCAACATCAGTTTTATGTCTTACTTTTATTTGCATTAAATTTTTTTTTTCTTTTATTTTCAATGCCTTTGTTTTCGCTTTAAGATTGCGAATTAACTTGCTGTAATAATATGTATTAATTTTTCTTTTTAACTCTAACTTCTGTCCTCAAAGCTGTAATAATATCTTCTTTTCTTTTGATATTTTTTAAAAATATTTTTAGCTTATATGGCATGCTGTTATATTTCAATTTAACTTATGCTATTTTTTTCCTGTGTTCTCTGGTTGAGCTAACTAACTGTGAAGGTAAATACGATAGCTTGGTGATGAGTTTTGCTTTTTTAGGGGTTAGCTGTACTCTTGATGTATGCATTCTTGTATCATTTTCAATAGAATTTTCAGGTTCACTAATAACTGAAGGTAAAATAGAAATATGTTTATGGGATGACAGAACAGAAGACTTTTAAACTGTGACTAATGAACTACTCTGTCTAAGATGCATTGCCTGTCTCATTGACACGCTTGGTGTGTGGTGTGTAAAGGGCTGATTACAAAATTCAATAAAACTTGTACAATCCCTTTTATAGTTTCTATTCATTTTTTTTGAAGTGTTAACATTATAGAGTTGATGTTTAGTAGTGTTCAAACAAAATAACTCATTTACTTGTTTAAGAGTTTTAACAAATGACTCATTATTGTTAGTGAACTCATTGTTGTTAAGTTTACAGCTAAATACTTTTTCACTCCATCCTGTAACACACATCCACTCTTTTTTGGACCCATAATTCCGTTTAATGTATATTGAGCGTTACTATATTATAATTTTAATTAAATTTCTTGAAAGGTAAATCAATAGCATATAATAATTTGTTAACATTCCATAACATTATAATGCAACATGTAAACAAATGTATTAAACAAAATATAATTAAAAAATCTCTTCCATACCTCACAAAACAAGTATTGGTTGCAAGGAAGTAGTATTTTAATAATAACAATACTAATATAATTTTTAGGAACTGTAAACATAAGCCAAACTAGTTTAAGATTAAATAAATGTCAAAAAAACAGTTTCAATAAACTAAAATATAAATAGTAAAAATGTATAAGACTCTTAACATTTATAAACTTTTGAAAGTAACACATATATTTATTATATTTATTATAGGCTCCAAAATCCTTCAAAAATTCTATTAGCACATATAATATAAATAGTACAAATGCAAAAGACTCTTAACATTTATCAACTATTGAAAGTTACACATATATTTATTATGGGCTAGGAAATCCTTCAAAAATTCTTTTAGTACATAAAATATGAAAACTATTTATAGTTACAACTTTAATAATTTTTATACTACAACTTTTAAAGACATTGAAAAAAATATTTTTCTTACAAACTAGTTCACTTGTCAATGTTTCATTTTTAAATTATTTTGGAAAAAAAATTAAACTTATTAATAATTGTGAAAATTGAGACAAAATGAAAAACAAACTTGATAATGTTAAATATATATTTTTAATACAAAAAACTTCTTCGACTGCTACCATTCTTTCTTCGCCTACACCCTCCTCCGTGGTGATATCCCCTTCTGCACCGTGTAAGATTAATCTTTTTTCACTGTATCAGCAAACATAACTCCACTTTTTTTTGAACCTATATATATATATATATATATATATATATTATATATATATATATATATATATATATATATATATATATATATATATATATATATATATATATATATATATATATATATATACATACACAAAGATTTAATATACCTTTTTTTTAATTTAATTTTTTGAAAAGTAAACAAACAATATATAAAAATTTGCTAATAAATAGTAGCATTATAATACAACATGTAAAAAAAAATCTCATACATACCTTCTGCAAACAAGTAATGGATACGTAAATATAATATTTAGGAACTGTAAGCATAAGTTAAACTGGTTTAAAATCAAACAATTAAACTGGCTTAAAACCAAATAATATTCTTAACTCAAAAAAAACTCAAAAAAATTAATATTTCAATTGATCCGAAATACATACATACATGAACAGGCTTTTTGAAGGATGCAATAAAAATATTTTTAAGCTTACCACTCAATGCAGTTGAGGATGGAACTAGAGCTAAAAAGTTTTTATAAAAAATAAATTTGCAATATTCAAGAAATGCAAAAATTAAAAATTAATAATTGCTAAACTTACCACTAATTGCAGATGAAGATGTTGCTAAAGGTAAAAAAAGTATTAAAAAAAAAATAAATATTGCAATTGACGATTTTGAAGTTGGTATTAAATCTATTTACAGATTAAAAAGTACTAGCTTTTAAAATAACTAACCGTAGCAGCTGATAAAAGGAGTGAAGATCAAAAATAATATAAATTAAACCAAGATATACATTCTTATATTTGATAATCTAGTAATCCTATACAAACTTACCTGTGGTAGGCTGGGTAGATTGAGCTAAAAATAACAAAAAAAGTGTATAATTACAACAAAATACTATGAAATTTTGAAAGAAACTATCATAATTATGTGGAAG